CCACTGTGACCGACATCATTGCTCGACAGAACGATCTTTCGGGCTCATCTCTCATTCTATCGACAATCTCAACAAGCTCGGAGCTGCACGGATCACTCGCGGCGCGGTCCAAAGTCGCTTAGGCGCTTTCAAGGCCAATTGGGAGAAATTCACCGTGTATCATGACAACTTGTTTAAAGACAAGCATGCCGAGATAGAGCAGCTTCCATACGTTATCGAAAACGTGTACTCTCTCTGTGAAGAGAAATTCCATGAAGCGCACGGATTTATGCTCGATGTGCTGGACCAGTTCGATCGCAAAGCGCAGCATGAGGCTATTGTTACCAACGCAACTAATTCTCCTACAGGATCTCACTCTCGACCGCGCATCGATTTACCGAGATTTTCCGGTGACTTCGCTCAGTGGAGCCCTTTTCGAGATCTCTTCAAGTCCATCGTCATGGAAAACAATGATCTCTCGGCTGTCGAAAAGCTCCATTATTTAAAAATGAGTCGAACTGGTGAGCCGGCGCAACAATGGAAGAACATTCCTATCACTAGTGAAAATCTTAAACGCTCGTGGGAAATTCTCGTGACTAGCTACGATAATAAACGAGTTCAGATCGACGCACAATTATCCGCCTTATTCGCGATTCGCAAATTGAAAACGGCAGATGCAACAGAAATAAAGAAACTTCTCGGCGATGTTAAAGAGGCCCTCGAAGCTCTCGAATGTCCAGTGAAATCCTGGGATCACATTGTCTTCATGATCGTACGTAAACTCGACGTCGAATCATTGAAGGAATGGGAGACAACTCTCCCATTGGGAGATGGTGCAAAATCTACGTCTCCGTCCTTCGGTGATCTAGAACAGTTCCTGGTTGGACGCGTGCAAACCCTGGAATCAATCGAACGAGTCATGATGCTATTTAAGCAACCAGCTTCGAATTCCACATCGGTACGTTCACAGTCAAATGCATGAGTTGCTACCGCTGCCGTACAGGGTGTTGCACCAACATACAGGTCAGTATGACGGGTTGCCCATTCGTGCAGGCGCGCGAGATCGTTCACAATTGCGTAGACTTCGGCGGCACAATCATAGCACACCCTTTTTTCCAATAAAGTTCGTAGTATATCAAATTGTGGTGCAATTATGACGAACTTCCGTAGGAATAGGTTAAAACAGAAGCCGAAGTGACAAGATATAGGTTATAAAAACGAATTTTATCGTGAAAACGAAGCATGTTTTCCTTCTTGTAAAAAAAATTTGATCATAGTCGAATGTAATCATTGTGTAATATAATTTGATTGTTTGAATTATTTTTACAGAGAACGAAAGTCAGAAATAAATGTAACTTTGCAAATTTAAATTATAAATCGATAAATAAAATTTAATTCACTGTAAATTTAAATAACGGCAATTATCGTTAAATCTTATAATATTTATTTGGAAGAATAATAATTCATTATTAAATTGATTATTTAATAAAGTGTTATTAATAAGCATTATGCAATTCTTCATATAAATGACTGCATATTATATTTATATTTTATAAAACTCCAAGAGGATTATTACTAAAAAATATTGTATACATTGAATATACAAATTGGTAAGTTTTATAAGATGTAATTTAACATTACGTTTAATGAACATTTTTCATTAATAAGTCTTTGGTAGATTTACATGTGTTATTGTAGCATTATTTATATAAATCTGCTTATCATCATATATTAAATTGACTGTTAATTAATAATAAAGTGTTAACATTCCAAAATAAATTAGGTAGAAGATCCGCCGATAACCATTTTTATTGTTATTTATATTTGTGATATTTACTGTAACAATCTAGATTTACTGTAGTATCATTATAAATTTTTCTACTTAAGTGCCATTTTAATCGACAAAACGAGTTCGTTTTTTTTCTTCTTCATAGCAAAATAAATATAAATGTATGCGGTTATGTGCTTACTTTTAGTTGTTCTGAAGAATTTAGGGAAAATCATGCATTTTCTCTGTTTAAAAGAGACGCAGTAATAATATGATAAAGAAATAATCCATTTTGTACTATACAATAGTGTTCTATACAATATTGTTCTATATAATAGATGTCCTTGTTTATCCTGTAGGTTAAACAAAGACACCTTTCGTATAAGTCGCGGAATATGCGCACGGTGTAAATGTAGCCTATATGTGTGAGAAAATATTTGACAATCTGTGACGATGGCAGTTGTTAAACAGCTTGGAAAGTTTGCGAGAAGTTTGATATATTTAACGATGGAGCGTTATACGAACGAAGAATTGGCAAATATGTTGCTTCTTTATGGAGAGTGCCAGAAAAATCAAAGACAAGCCGCAGCTCTCTATGCGGAACGTTTTCCTAACAAGCGACATCCAGGGCACGGATTCTTTCACAGTCTATTTCTTAGACTTGTTCAGTATGGGACATTACACGCTTCAACACGTCCACGGCACGTACCACAACGGGCAGAAGCAACAATTAATTCAGTAAGAGAAGCTGTTATTGTTAATCCGCATACAAGTACGAGAAGTATTGGACATGATCTCCAACTGGACCATGTCAAAGTTCATAGAATTATTAAGAAAAATCTTGGCTGGCATCCATTTAAAAGACATACAACACAAAGATTATTTCCCCAAGATTTGCCTCGTAGAGAAGCGTTTTGTGATTGGCTTTCAGAGCAAGTAAGAATAAGATGCATTAGTAATTGGTAGTTATCATTTTTTACCACGACTAGAATAGCACTGATTTTTTTTTAAATAATTGAAAAAGAGAAGTTTAAATTTTTTTTAGTTTTAGAAACCGTTCGGATGTCGATTTATCGTGAGATGATAGCCACAAGTTTTTAATTTATCAATATTCGTGCCATTTCGATTTCGATAATAACTTACAAAATCGTAGCAATCAATTACTTTTGTTCCAGGTCGACATAAACAACATTCCTAACGATAATTTTTTGAGGAGAATTCTCTGGACAGATGAATGCACTTTCCGCAGTGATGGACGCATAAATCGACATAATGAACATCATTATGCGGAAGAAAATCCGCATTGTAGAAAAGAAACTCACATTCAGGGGCAATTCCATATTAATGTCTGGATGGGAATTTTGGATAATTATGTTATCGGACCATTTTTCTTTCCGGAAAATGTTAATATTACAGCAGTAACTTATTCTGAATTCCTGGTAGAAACATTACCATATTTATTAGAGGATGTTCCATTGGCTGTAATTCCAAATATAATTTTTCAACAAGATGGCCATCCTGCTCATTCATCTCTTCTGGCTCGAACCATATTAAATCAAAGATTTCCTAACAGATGGATAGGTATTCATAGCACTCTGCAAGAATGGCCACCACGTTCACCTGACCTAACGCCTATGGACTTCTTTGTGTGGGGCTACATACGTGATCAAGTTTATGATTCACTACCACGCAACAGAAATGACTTAATACAAAAGATACAAACAGCAAGTGAAAAAATAACACCTGTAATGTTATCGAAGGTGCGAGAAAACTTAATGCGGAGAATTGCCTTATGTGCAGAAGAAAATGGAGGACATTTTGAACATGTTCTGTAAAAGAAAATATAATATGTTACATTTTACATACATATATCATATAAATATGTTATATATACTATATATTTAATGTATATTCTATATATTTTATATACTACATGAAAAAATATAATAAATATATTATATGTTATATATTTTATTAATGTATTATATGAATAAAATTATGGACGCTATAGAAATAAAGTTACCGACTCGAGTCTCATTACGTTTTATATAATATTTATATTACTTATAAATATACAATACTGACGTATATTTATTTAATCTTGCCCCTTTCGCCAAACTTGTCAATTCATTCATTTGTAGTACAAAACATTCTACTTTAATAGGCAACAATAGTATAATATATAAAATACATAGAATATATTATATAAATATAATAAATATTATAACGTTTCGTAAGCGTTGCAGTTCACTTCATGCTCCGAAGTCGACATTCTAAAAATGGATATAGACATGGAGACCACAATAATAGATTCTATATAGAAAGTACCCATGGAAGCCTCAAAAGTACTATTGTTGCCTATTGAAGTAGAATTTAGTAACAATGTTTTGTACTACAAATGAATGAATTGAGAAGTTTGGCGAAAGGGACAAGATTAAATAAATACGTTAGTATTATATATTTATAAGTAATATAAATATTATATTAAACGTAATGAGATTCGAGTCGGTAACTTTATTTCTATAATGTCCATAATTTTATTAATGTAACATTAATAAAATATATAACGTATAATGTATTTATTACGATTATGTAATATATAAAATACATAGAATATACAATAAATATATGGTATATGACATATAATATATAATATGTATGTAAAATGTAACATATTATATTTTTCTTTATAGAACATGTTCAAAATGTCCTCCATTTTCTTCTACACATAAGGCAATTCTCCGCATTAAATTTTCTCGCACCTTCGATAACATTACAGGTGTTATTTTTTCATTTGCTGTTTTTGTATCTTTTGTATTAAATCATTTCTGTTGCGTGGCAGTGAATCATGAACTTGATCACGTATGTAGCACACAAAAAAATCCACAGGCGTTAGGTCAGGTGAACATGGTGGCCATTCTTGCAGAGTGCTATGAATACCTATCAATCTGTTAGGAAATTTTTGATTTAATACAGTTTGAGCCAGAAGAGATGAATGAGCAGGATGGCCATCTTGTTGAAATATTATATTTGGAATTATAACTAATGGAACATCTTCTAATAAATATGGTAGTGTTTCTACCAGGAATATGGAATAAATTTCTGCTGTAATATTAATATCTTCCAGAAAAAAAAGTGACTCGATAACATAAATATCCAAAATTCCCATTCAGACATTGGCATGGAATGGCTCCTCAAGGTGCATTTCTTTCATGCAATAAGGATTTTTCTCCATATAGTAGAGTTCATTGCGTTGTCTATTACTACGATAAGTGTATTTATCTGTCCAGAGAATTCTCTTAAAAAAAATCATCATTAGCAATATCAACCTGGGATGAAAATGGTTTGTTATTACAATTTTGTAGATTTTTGAAATCAAACTGACACAAATATTGTTGAATTCAAAACTTGTAGACACCATCTCACGATGAATCGATATCTTAGTAATATTTTAATTTTTGGACGGTTTCTAAAGTCTAAAAGAAGCTTAATATTTGATTTCTCTTTTTAAGTTCTATTATTAAAAATAATTAAAACCTATTTTCAATTGTGGTAAGGAACGGTAGCCACCAATTACTAATGCATCTTATTATTCCTACTTACTCTGAAAGCCAATCCTAAAACGCTTTTCGATGAGGCAAATCTTGAGGAAATAATCTTTATGTCTTTCAAATGGATGCCAACCGACATTTTTTTTAATAATTCTGAGCATTTGTATGATCCACTTGCAGAGAATATCTACTTGTATGTGGATTAGCAATAATAGCTTTTCTTACTACAATAGTTGCTGCTTCATTTGTGCGTGCCGTGAATGTGTTGGAGCGTGTAACATCTCATATTGACAAAATTTAATAAACAAACTTTGAAAAAATCCGTGCCTAGGATGTCGCTTATTTGGAAAACATTTTGCATAGAGGATTGCGTCTTGATTTGATTTTTATGGCCCTCTATAAATAAGCAACAAATTGGATAAATCTTCATTAGTATTATATAGTAATAATCCTCTTGGAGATTTATAAAATATAGATATAATATGCAGTCATTTATATAAAGAATTGCATACTGCTTATTAATAATAGTTTATTAAACAATCAATTTATTAATGAATTGTTATTCTTCCAAATAAATATTATAAGATTTAACGATAATTGCCGTTATTTAAATTTACAGTGAATCAAATTTATTTGTCGGTTTATAATTTAAATTTGCAAAGATACATTTATTTCTGACTTTCGTTCTCTGTAAAAATAATTCAAACAATCAAATTATATTACACAATAATTACATTCGACTATGATCAAATTTTTCTTACAAGAAGGAAAACATGCTTCGTTTTCACGATAAAATTCGTTTTTATAACCTATATCTTGTCACTTCGGCTTCTGTTTTAACCTATTCCTACGGAAGTTCGTCATAATTGCACCACAATTTGATATACTACGAACTTTATTGGAAAAAAGGGTGTGCTATGATTGTGCCGCCGAAGTCTACGCAATTGTGAACGATCTCGGGCGCCTGCACGAATGGGCAACCCGTCATACTGACCTGTATGTTGGTGCAACACCCTGTACAACAGTGTGCAGTGTGTAGCTCAGGACATTATATCGCGTCGTGCCCGAAATACCTCGAGAAGACTGTGAATCAACGACGCGAGGTTGTTGCAAAAAATCTGTGTTTTAATTGTCTCGGACCTCATCACCTCAAGGCATGTCGCACTTCGAAACGCTATCGGTTCTGTCGCAAGCAACATCACTCAACGTTGCATGTAGCTACGGTCGAATCCAACGTCTCGACGCCGTCCACTACGACGGCAGTCCCCGTCCCGTCGGCTAGCGGCCTTACCACGGATCACTCTGGAGCATCTCAAACCAACCGACAAATCGGAGCTTCTCACACGTACAATCATATTGCACAGTCACGCATAATTAAATGCACTCCAGTGCTCCTTACTACCGCTTTAGTTACAGCTATATCTCGAGCTGGATAACGATTCCAGCTACGGCTTGCTCGATCAAGGATCGGAAGCTTCATTTATCTCCGAGTCCGCCGCGCAGCTTCTAAAATTTTCACGTAAACCCGCGTCCGTCCCGATTCTCGGAATCGGCGCACAACGCTCCGATGGCTCAAACGGACGGGTCTCTCTCGAAATTATCTCGCGGATCAATTCGGCATTCTCTATTAAACTTGAAGCTCTCTTACTGCCGAAACTCACCGCTTACTTGCCACTCACGAAGATTGCATCCACTCAATGGCCACACATCGACGAACTCCGAGTAGGAGTATAGGGCGGGTTCTAACCCATGGGGCTAGAGGGGAATGCGGGGCGCTGGGGGTACTCGGTGGCGAGGGGAACGGAGCGCAGGGATTCTTCGGAGGTCGGGGTATGACGTAACAGGGCGAGCGGGAACGGGGCGCGGGGAAGGTTCCAGGGTCGCCGGTACCGCTGTTTACCTAGGACCCAAATCATCACTGTTTATAAAAATAGGACCCTGATTGATGGGTCATAAATGTATCGTTTTACGATTCGGTATTTTTTACTGCCGCCACCCCGTACCCACCCAAACAAAATGCGTTAGAGTATTATGCGGATACGTGGACAAAGAAAACCAAGAAGCGCTGATAT